ATTTATGTATATATATAATTTAAATATTAATATACTATGGTTAAATTTATTACTATTATTAAAGATATCAAAAATAAATTAAATGTATTTAAAAAGCTAATGTATTTAATATTTATATACATAATATTAGACATTATTAATACTAATAATAAATACTAATAATAAATTACTTACACCACATATTATAAACTTAATTATATATTATAAAAATTAGATATTATCACAAGGAGAAAAATTATTTAAAGTAGATAAGTACATCTACCAGTGCATGAATGGTATTTGACGTATTTCCATTTAACTTCTTTGTAAACTTTAAGAACTCTTATACTCTTTCGTTTACGTAATTAACTGCATAGTTTAACTGCGTTATGTTTATAAAATGATAAGAAAATCGGTGAGTTGTGTATCGTAAAGTATACTATTAACGCATATAAATGTATACACAATTTGAAATAGCTATGAAATATAAAAATAATTTGCAAATATATGCACATCTTACACAATTGTTATTTTTTCTTATTATTTGGTTAGCTTAAAGCTCTGTAGATACTTCTTCTGGCTTTCAATTTCGGATTTACGTATTTGTATTTTCTTATAAATTTTGCTCACATGTTGGACCACATTTTCCCAAACTTTACGTTCCTAAAACAGATTGTATAGATATTTATTATCAATAAATAATAAAATAGGGTAAAAAACAACGGCAAAAAATTAAAGGACTATTTTAATAATATTAAAGTTTATCGCTTAGGCGTCTGGAAAGGGCACTATATATTATGCGCATAAACTTCAATATAGCATAAAAAGAAACCTCTAAATTTGTTTTTTATGTATATCTTTTTTAAATATAATCATAAATTTAAGAATAAATCAGACATATCTTGCAGTTTTTTTTGTCAATTAATAGGAATAAATCTATCCGTGACCAAAAAATATCATGAAACATGAAAATTATAATTATAAATATATTATCTCTAGTTACATCTATGAATTATTTTAGTATATATAATGTATCAAAATTTAATAAAAATTTATAAATAATATCAATCTAAATCTTATTTTTTAAATAATTTAACATTGATTTTGATTTTTATTAATTTGATTTTTTATTTATTAGCTTGTAAATATTTAATTTAGTTTTTTAATTTCGACATAAATAAAACAAAATGTTATACAACCACAGCATATACGAAGATATATAATAAGAAAAGTTCTAATTCAGAATAAACATGATTAATAATAATAGTTAATGTTGGAATCATGTTGACCATTCTATAGAAACAAAATAAAAAGCATACAGATAACAAACTTTCGTCATAATTAAGAATAGTATAAAAATATCACAATTTTTACCTGGGCATTACACTGGCTTCTCCAAAATATAGAATATTATCTAATATGTATAAAAGCATATCCTTGTCTTTTACAAGTTTTGCCAAAATAAAGGGGAAATTGTTAATAATGTCTTCGACTAATAACTTTTCACTTTCACTCGATGGTTGAATTATAACTATATCTATTATTAGAGTCAAATAATTTATGATAGTATCAGGTTCAGTGCAAGCCAATAATTTGAAGAGTCTGTTATCATAGTTTCTTTGCCACGAATCGTAAATATTCCACCAAGTAGAGTTTGACACTGCTAAACCATTACAATAAGTCCATTCTCTCCACCATGGCAAAATCCTATAAAAAAATAAAATTCTGTTAAAAAAGTTTAACCTACAATCTTGCATATTTTGATACAATAATTTATCTGAAACGTCATATTACAATAAATACAGAAAACCGTAGCTAAAGAATATTGTGAATATATAAGAAAAAAATTACTGCTTTGGAAATGGCCAATATAGTTCTAATATATCGGAGGCTTTTTTTCTACAATTGATTTCACCAAAAAGACATGCCCATTTTGCAGCATCTTCTCTTAAAGATTTTATAAGATCGGGCTCGTATTTTTCGATCGGACCTGTATATTCGATGAATTCATCATATTCAAGTTTTTGAAGCAGTGTATTCAATATTTTGTTCATATTTTCCTAATAATCGTTAAACAATATAAACTTTTTATTAGTTTTTGTTACTATGCGTACCTTACAACTTTTTAATTTTTATATATTATTATCTATATGTTTGTGTGTTGAATTAAAGCAAATATGTTTTACATGCAACTTTCTAATATATGATATATTTATTAACTAGAAATTAATTAATAATTACCTTAATAGCATCAACTTCTGGATCCTGTAATTGAAAAACACTCGACATTTGTTCCAAAGCTTTGAACATAGGATACCATGCCACATAATCTTCCTCTTGGTGTAAATATCTCGTGAGGTTCCAGAATATAGAAGAATCGAGTTGACGTGCTATCATTAAATGAAATGCGTCATCGATAAGTTGAGCACGATTGAGAACATGTATGTTCATGAAATGCGGAGAGTCTAGGTAATCCGAAATTAATTGCCAGTTCTTAGCATCGTAGTTGACCCTATAATATCCTGATAAACAACAATAAATTTTATCATTAGTTATATTTTTAATGAATTATCAAAAATATTTTTAAATATCTAAATATATGTTTTTTAAATCACATTAAAACTGTATTAAACATGAATGTACCAAATGTAAAATAATTGTATTATTATAAAAAATTAATAACATAAAACTTTTTGTTATTTTTTAATTGATGGTTTGTGGAAATTTAAATTGCGTCAAAAATTTTGTATAAATTCAAATTGATTCGTTACATAAATTAATTTTCTTATTTGTACTATAAATAATCTCTATATTATGTTTTAATATGCATTATTATGTGCATTATTTTCAAACGTAACATAAAAATTAAGCATCTCAAGAAAATTTTGATTGCATTTGTAGTGTAAAAATAGTTGCTATTTATTAATATTTACCAGTTTGTCTTACGTTGAATATTATCCATTCAGTCTCGTTAAGCTCTCTATCAAAACTACTATTTGCAATATCCAAAATATATACATGCCTTCCTACATCTGACATATTTAACCAAATTTCAGGTAAGGTATCATTAAAATTGAGATCTGCTTGCATAGTATACGTTAGAGGTATGCTCCAATTATTTGATGTATTGAGAATTTCTAGTGTTATGTTTTGAAAACCACCAGAATTCCGTATTACCTTCAAGACGGGATAATGCTTGTGCTTGATCCAAGGATCCATTTGTTTTGTTATATTAAATCCTTCAAATGGAAAATATGGTATTTCATCGAAGGCAGTTTGCATAGCTGTCCAGAAATCGTTAGAAGCGCCCCACTTATATGTACTAAAATTGTAAATTTTAATATTGTTGAAAGTAAACAATGGATAAATTATTGCATCCCACTGCGTCCACGCATATACTTTCTCATCCATGCAACAATTGTGGGGCGGACTGTCTCTCTGTCTCTATATTATTACCCAAATGTTAACTTTAAATATCTCAGGAACTATAAGACCGCGCACTAAGAGACCGCCGGTTAAGTTATAAGGGAAAGTTACTCAGGGTTATGTCCTTGACAACATATGTCAAGGTCAAAGTCATCGGTGAGGTGTAACCTAATATGCATATTTACCAAAATTATTTTTTTATTTATATTCGCATATTATGTATATATAATGTAATATAAGAGGGAAAGTTGCACCTTATTTAAGTCATATCTTAAATGACAATATGATAAATAATGAGACACGAGATTCTTTCTCTTTTAATTAAGATCATGAGAAATAAATGAATATGTTAATGTGATTAATGTAATCTAAACACATGTTATAATTAAAATCAAATAAAAGGAACAAATAAATTATAGCTTTTGCTTTATAAAGCGAAAGCAAAGGATTGAATATTAAAATAGAAGAAAAATAAATGAAAAGAAAACATAATACACGCAGAAGACGTTAAAGTCATTTACGCCTTAGGTTGTAAAGTAAGAAAATTTGAGCCTTCATAGGAATTAACTTTTTTAGATAAAATGAAAAACAGAAAGAGAAAAAGCAATCACAGTGTCAATCAGATAAAAAGCAATAAGATATTAAAGTAGATATATTCAATGATCCAGAATGTATTTTTTGTATGTCATACAAACATACATAACTTACTGTTTACAAAATAATACAATAACTAAAATCTTTTATAGAACTATTATTATATACATATATACTTAATATGTTTAACTCAATCGTATGTATTAGATTATTAGATTATTAGATTAACTATTAGATTATAGTATTTTACTTACTCGTCATATATATATGTACGGATACCCTTCCAAAATGCTTCTTCGTCAATTGTGTGTTGCAACATATGCAATATAACGGATGCTATAACAATACACGTAATCATATATATTACAGTGCCTGTATTTAATTATGAACACAGCTAGTAGAAAATGATTTGTTATATATATAAACATAAAATTACATATATATATTTAAGTATATAGTTTTATTATTAATTTTACCTATTCTTTTACAACATTCAATTTTATATTTAAGAATTTACTTGCATGGCAATTTTAATTAAATTTACTATACCTCTGATGTAATAAGGAATTTCAAAAGAACTGTTGATTTGTGAACTAAGAGGCCACATACTGTACTCAGCGTCTAAATGCAGACAATCTTGTTGAATTTGTACCACGAATAAATCCATTATTCGAGAATCTGGGATAGTCTAACAAATAAAGTTTTAACGTAATTATTTTAATATAATAATACAAATCGTGGAAGAAATGCTTGCAAATTTGCATTCGTTGCGCTATTTTCTACTTCTTTTTTTTTAAACTTAAAAATATAGTAAGATACATATCTCTAAAATAAAATATGCGTTTCAACAATTATTTTATGGAAATTATTTCTCAAATTATTTCAAAGCATATATTTTCTATTATAGATTTTATTTCTTTGTTATTTTAGTTTCATTGTACATGACACACGCATATATATATTTTTAGATAATATTTTTTTTAAGACCAACATCTTTACAAGTAAAAAAGTATTAAAAAACATAAGAATATTTTTCATCGCTGCCATATATTAATAAACACTTCTTATGTATAATCATTGCCTGAGAGCTAAAGATATAATAATTACCTTATCGATGACATAGGCTCCAAAAAATGTAATGAAAGTCTCGGTTAACCAGGAGTGTGACCACCGAAATGAAAACCATTCTCGTAATATTTTACTAACTACTAAGCGAAGCACTTTAATTTTACGCCCAACGGGATCTAATGTTTCTTTGTACACAACATCCAATTCTCTAAAAAAAGTTTTAAAATAATATAGTTTGTTATATTGTAAATCTTTATTAACATGCAATATATACGTACATACATACGTACATACATATTCATACATATATACATATGTATGTAATATACATTATGTATATTGATTCGGGTATAAATAAGAATATGTGCGCGCAAAAGAATTACTATTCGATCAGTTGCTTCATGTTTTAAAAATATATAAGCTACTTACAAAAAAAATAATAAAACTAGAAATGTCTTTTCACTACGCAATGCAAGCGATATGATGTGATCTCAATTAGTGTTCTATAAATATATATATATATATGAAATTTCAATGTATCACATACGCTATTATGTTATTTATTAAAATATTTATGTTATTTATTAAAATTAACTATAAAAATTAGTTATAAAAATTTAAATTTTTAATATTTAAGTTTGCCAAAAATATATATTTAATGAAATTTTTGAAACATATATTTAATAAAAATATATATTTTTCAATTGAACAAATTTATATAAGCACACATAAAAATATGCAAACTTATAAAATATTTTATAATTTTGAATATTATTAGTAATTCAATTACTTTTAAATATATGTATAATAAATAAAGATATTTTTTATTTATATATCTACCTATATAGAACAAGCCCTAAATTCATCATGTTTTCGTCATAGAAATCTGGAATTACTACATGATCTATTTTCGAAATTTTCTGTGATCTTTTCCATTCGCTTTTCAAATACATCGTAAGTTTTTCCACAATATCTTGTGTATAAAACAGGAGATATGAGATGATCTTTCTGTTCCACATGTGCAACCATCTGTTGGTTGCAGTTCCAAGTATATTAAGAATAAATAATTCTGCTCGATTAATTATAACTGCCCCGACGACAGAAGTAGACATTGCAAGAGTAGTATCGTAGTGTATCGACATCATATTGTTTTCAAGTATTTTTATTTTTCGTGTTTGCATATTTGAAAAAGCCATTGTAAGCCATTTGTAATTACGAGGATATATTATCGAAATGTCAAAGGTTGCTTTTAATTCCGGTTCGTCCCAACATGGAAACAATCGTCGGGCACTATCTATCTGATAATGTGTTGCAGCCATCCACCTATTGTAATTTAAAAAATATGTTTATGTTATTATATATTTATAAACATATATTAAGTTGTGTTTTTTACGTGAGAGTCTTATTAATTTATTAACTTATTAAAAAATATGAATTAGATAACGATAAATTTTTGTGTTTTTGCCAACATAGAAGTATTGAAAACTAAAAATGTATAAACATTATATTTAAAAAATAATTTGAACTCTATTTCTTATTACTTTATCATTATATAATATTTCTACTATTCATAGTCATGATAAATTGTTCTTTGTTTTATTATATATTTTATAATATGTAATATTATTTTTGGTATATTATATATATATATATAATTACAATATATTAAATATTTAACAATGTATTTCATATATTTAATATGCATTTATCAGTTACTTACCCTCCATTGTTATTTTTATTTTGCGTTAAAGAAAAAGTTTCTTCATTACCAGCTATAACACCGATAAATTTATTTTCCACTAAAGAAAATCTTCTGAAGCCTCCGTTATCAGCTATAACACCGATAAATTTCATATTCAAGATGTAACGCCCCGATGATAACTCATTCTTGAAAGAAAACTCAGCAATCTGCGTCTTACTGTCACGTAAATATTTTATCGGTTTATAAATGACTTTTTCTTCGCCATATTGCTGAAATCGTGGTGGATTATCAGTTAACTCTATATTTAGTATACATCGTATGTCTGAATATAAATTTATAATATGCGTTGGTTGAAGAATATTAATGTTGACGTCGCATTCGCCATAGAAAGTATCTTGATTATATGGTACAAGCTTGATGTTGTAATGCTCTGGTTTTATATAATCCAGTAATATAAACTGTTTGTCGGTCAAAGGAGTCGCCGCAGCAACGAATATTAAACCGCTACTTAATAATATTATTAAAAATATCATATCAATATTTGCCTCAGGTATCTGCAGAAAACAATTTTTTTTTATAAAAGCACAGAGACAGAGAAATTAAATATGGCGCAGAACTCTCTCTATATCGTTTCATTTTTTTATTTTGTGTAGAACATAATTCTCACATCGAATAATTAATGAACGACAAAGAAATATTCAAAATTATTAAAATATATCGATATATGTAAAATATTATGATATACATTTGATTCGTATTTATTAACTTATTAAAAAATATGAATTAGATAACGATAAATTTTTGTGTTTTTGCCAACATAGAAGTATTGAAAACTAAAAATGTATAAACATTATATTTAAAAAATAATTTGAACTCTATTTCTTATTACTTTATCATTATATAATATTTCTACTATTCATAGTCATGATAAATTGTTCTTTGTTTTATTATATATTTTATAATATGTAATATTATTTTTGGTATATTATATATATATATATAATTACAATATATTAAATATTTAACAATGTATTTCATATATTTAATATGCATTTATCAGTTACTTACCCTCCATTGTTATTTTTATTTTGCGTTAAAGAAAAAGTTTCTTCATTACCAGCTATAACACCGATAAATTTATTTTCCACTAAAGAAAATCTTCTGAAGCCTCCGTTATCAGCTATAACACCGATAAATTTCATATTCAAGATGTAACGCCCCGATGATAACTCATTCTTGAAAGAAAACTCAGCAATCTGCGTCTTACTGTCACGTAAATATTTTATCGGTTTATAAATGACTTTTTCTTCGCCATATTGCTGAAATCGTGGTGGATTATCAGTTAACTCTATATTTAGTATACATCGTATGTCTGAATATAAATTTATAATATGCGTTGGTTGAAGAATATTAATGTTGACGTCGCATTCGCCATAGAAAGTATCTTGATTATATGGTACAAGCTTGATGTTGTAATGCTCTGGTTTTATATAATCCAGTAATATAAACTGTTTGTCGGTCAAAGGAGTCGCCGCAGCAACGAATATTAAACCGCTACTTAATAATATTATTAAAAATATCATATCAATATTTGCCTCAGGTATCTGCAGAAAACAATTTTTTTTTATAAAAGCACAGAGACAGAGAAATTAAATATGGCGCAGAACTCTCTCTATATCGTTTCATTTTTTTATTTTGTGTAGAACATAATTCTCACATCGAATAATTAATGAACGACAAAGAAATATTCAAAATTATTAAAATATATCGATATATGTAAAATATTATGATATACATTTGATTCGTGTTTGTATCTAGAAGCAATTTAAATACGTCTTATATTTTTGTGCTCGCATTTTTTGTATATTTAAAACAGACATATACATATGTATTTTGTATAACTCACTTGTATACCACAAGTTGTATTATGCAACTATATTGCTTTGTAAAAATTAGCTACAGCCAATCTCTCTATTTTCTGTCGTATCGTTTACCATATGATATTGGAAGTATATATCAAAACAATTACGATCTTATCATTTCAAAAGACCATCAACAACTGACGATGCTTAGTACACGACATCATAATAAATCTGTAATATTAGATCAACACTTCTAAGGTTATCAATCATTAAAAGACATTCTAATAATATTGTCAGATTTTAACATATAATCATCGATGAGCGTTATTTATAAATTTAACGTAAATTGAAGTTAATTTCAAAGAAATATGCAAAACAACAATAAACAAATATTTAATTTCTTATTCTCATCTTCGAAGTCTTTACTGTACTTATATACATGCACGCGCACATGTACACTTATTAAAACCCGCATCTATTTAGTGAATTTTCCTTTTTGATTATCGATCTTAATTTAAAATTTGATCACAAAATATAAAAGTAGCATATATAAAAATAAACAATATATTTTATTTAAATTCTCAAGTTTGCTTTTGTGCAATTATAATTAATACAAATGTAATCAAAAAAGCTAAAATAGTTCAACATACATAACAACACTGTATAATATATAATTAATTGAATAAACTATTAATTTTATTTCTTATCTGTCTAAAAAATCTCTGCATCTTATCGGGAATAGAAAAAAGCAGTCCGGAGATAACATAAATGCGATGTTCTAAAATTCTTGTTTTTAATAAGAGTCTGCCAGTTCGGCCTAAACATAAAAAAAAAATCATAATCACCGCGCAAAAACAATATTTATTAATTGATAATGATAGTAAAAAAGTTATGAATTGCGTACGTTTCGACTCTTTTTCTGGGTCATTTTCAGCACTAATTAACGGTAACAAAAATTAAAGAAAAACAAATGGAATAACGGTACATAAGTAAAATCGTTGATGTTAATTAGTTAAAAAATGCAAAATTATAATAAAAATAGGTCACATAAATACGTTAAATTGAGAAGATTATATCTCAAGTCACTTTGGACAGGTAATAAAACTATGTTTATTGTGCAACGATGCATCTTTAAGTTGCTTGATTCCCAGCTAAATATTCAGAAAAATTAACTGAAGAGGAATGAGTCCTAATACATGTCCGAGACTCATCCTTACTGTGATTTACTTCTTCACGCCAGTATACGATAATATTGTATTGGCATCACGGACTATCGTTCAAAGAAATTTAATAAGGAATAGAAGAATATAAAAAAACGAGAGATGTTCAGTAGTATTATCACATTCGTAGTTGCCATTAGTTTCTTATTCTCACGATTGTTCACAAAAAGTAATTCTAAATGTTCATTGTGTGTGTATGTGTGTATATCGAATATAAAAAATAATAGATGACCATTATTTTATAAAATATTTTATAATTTTGAATATTATTAGTAATTCAATTACTTTTAAATATATGTATAATAAATAAAGATATTTTTTATTTATATATCTACCTATATAGAACAAGCCCTAAATTCATCATGTTTTCGTCATAGAAATCTGGAATTACTACATGATCTATTTTCGAAATTTTCTGTGATCTTTTCCATTCGCTTTTCAAATACATCGTAAGTTTTTCCACAATATCTTGTGTATAAAACAGGAGATATGAGATGATCTTTCTGTTCCACATGTGCAACCATCTGTTGGTTGCAGTTCCAAGTATATTAAGAATAAATAATTCTGCTCGATTAATTATAACTGCCCCGACGACAGAAGTAGACATTGCAAGAGTAGTATCGTAGTGTATCGACATCATATTGTTTTCAAGTATTTTTATTTTTCGTGTTTGCATATTTGAAAAAGCCATTGTAAGCCATTTGTAATTACGAGGATATATTATCGAAATGTCAAAGGTTGCTTTTAATTCCGGTTCGTCCCAACATGGAAACAATCGTCGGGCACTATCTATCTGATAATGTGTTGCAGCCATCCACCTATTGTAATTTAAAAAATATGTTTATGTTATTATATATTTATAAACATATATTAAGTTGTATTTTTTTACGTGAGAGTCTTATTCATTTATTAACTTATTAAAAAATATGAATTAGATAACGATAAATTTTTGTGTTTTTGCCAACATAGAAGTATTGAAAACTAAAAATGTATAAACATTATATTTAAAAAATAATTTGAACTCTATTTCTTATTACTTTATCATTATATAATATTTCTACTATTCATAGTCATGATAAATTGTTCTTTGTTTTATTATATATTTTATAATATGTAATATTATTTTTGGTATATTATATATATATATATAATTACAATATATTAAATATTTAACAATGTATTTCATATATTTAATATGCATTTATCAGTTACTTACCCTCCATTGTTATTTTTATTTTGCGTTAAAGTAAAAGTTTCTTCATTACCAGCTATAACACCGATAAATTTATTTTCCACTAAAGAAAATCTTCTGAAGCCTCCGTTATCAGCTATAACACCGATAAATTTCATATTCAAGATGTAACGCCCCGATGATAACTCATTCTTGAAAGAAAACTCAGCAATCTGCGTCTTACTGTCACGTAAATATTTTATCGGTTTATAAATGACTTTTTCTTCGCCATATTGCTGAAATCGTGGTGGATTATCAGTTAACTCTATATTTAGTATACATCGTATGTCTGAATATAAATTTATAATATGCGTTGGTTGAAGAATATTAATGTTGACGTCGCATTCGCCATAGAAAGTATCTTGATTATATGGTACAAGCTTGATGTTGTAATGCTCTGGTTTTATATAATCCAGTAATATAAACTGTTTGTCGGTCAAAGGAGTCGCCGCAGCAACGAATATTAAACCGCTACTTAATAATATTATTAAAAATATCATATCAATATTTGCCTCAGGTATCTGCAGAAAACAATTTTTTTTTATAAAAGCACAGAGACAGAGAAATTAAATATGGCGCAGAACTCTCTCTATATCGTTTCATTTTTTTATTTTGTGTAGAACATAATTCTCACATCGAATAATTAATGAACGACAAAGAAATATTCAAAATTATTAAAATATATCGATATATGTAAAATATTATGATATACATTTGATTCGTGTTTGTATCTAGAAGCAATTTAAATACGTCTTATATTTTTGTGCTCGCATTTTTTGTATATTTAAAACAGACATATACATATGTATTTTGTATAACTCACTTGTATACCACAAGTTGTATTATGCAACTATATTGCTTTGTAAAAATTAGCTACAGCCAATCTCTCTATTTTCTGTCGTATCGTTTACCATATGATATTGGAAGTATATATCAAAACAATTACGATCTTATCATTTCAAAAGACCATCAACAACTGACGATGCTTAGTACACGACATCATAATAAATCTGTAATATTAGATCAACACTTCTAAGGTTATCAATCATTAAAAGACATTCTAATAATATTGTCAGATTTTAACATATAATCATCGATGAGCGTTATTTATAAATTTAACGTAAATTGAAGTTAATTTCAAAGAAATATGCAAAACAACAATAAACAAATATTTAATTTCTTATTCTCATCTTCGAAGTCTTTACTGTACTTATATACATGCACGCGCACATGTACACTTATTAAAACCCGCATCTATTTAGTGAATTTTCCTTTTTGATTATCGATCTTAATTTAAAATTTGATCACAAAATATAAAAGTAGCATATATAAAAATATTGTATATAAAACTGAAAGAGAGAGAGAGAGAGAGAGAGAGAGAGAGAGAGTCATATATATAGGTATAACATAAAAATTAAATGATTATAACTTTAATATATTAAAGAAAATAATCAGAATTAACATGAGTAAAACATTTAATTATATGTAATAAGGTAAATATATATTAAATAAAAGAAAAAA